CAAAGCAGTCGTTTGCAATGGGCCTATTTTTTTTGCTGGAAACCAAAAGCAAACATCAGTTTCTGGCAAAAATACATCGTGAATCACGGTCCCAGGCTTTCAGGATGCCGCTAATGGTCAAGTTGCCGAGCATCCAAAATACAATCACACAACTACAGTGTGTGTGTGTGTGTGTGTGTGTGTGTGTGTGTTTGCAGCTACTAGAACTTCAAATCCACACCTGTTAGTAGCCATTGCAACTTCAAATGCTTGCTAAGCAACTATAAGTTGAGGACTACCTGTACGGCTCTGTTTGAAGCATTGATGCTTCAGGGGGCATCCTGCACATTTTGTGCACCGCTCAACAATGCAGAACATAGAATCCTAGGGCTGGAGGGTGACCTCAGAGGTCTTCTAGTCCAACCCCCTGTTCAAGGCAGGAGACCTTTATACCATCCTGGTTAAATGGTTGTAAGTTGATGGTCCTCTTGGGCTCACGAGGCTTATTTATGTGGTAAGCTTGCCCCAGAAAGCTTTCTTTACTTCTTGGGGGTTTTCTCCAACATAAGTAAAGAGACATTTCGGCTTTTTAGCTGGTTTGCATTAAGATTATGGAAGAAGGGGAAAAGATACGCAAGACCGTTTGGATTGGGCGCCCCCTGGTGGACACCTGATGCCAGTGAAGGGTTTGGTGATTTGCAGATGGAGCAATTATTACATAAAGCAATTTCATCTCCATGTTTCTCAACCTTGGCCTCTTTCAGATGTATGGACTTCAACTCCCAGAATTCCCCAGCCAGAAGGGGAATTTCCCTCCACCCCTTCTGGCAGCTAGAGGATTCTGGGCATTGAAATCCAGACATCCCAAAGTGGGCCAAGTTTGCAAAACACCCAATTTGGATATTTAAGTTATTACTTTCCTTGTTTCCCCCCCTCCTCTTTCTTGTTTAGATTGTATTGCTATTGTTTATGAGCTGTTCTTTGCTTTTGCATTGTTTGTTTGATTTTTGCAATCTTGTTTTTTTGGGCCAACTTTTATTTTAAAATTTATATGCCGCCCATCTCTCTTACAGGCGGGTTACAATCAACTTTGGGTTTTAATATTACGTGATAACCTTAATATAACATTATATATCGTAATAGAATTTAATATGTCATCATTTTTTTTTTAAAAAAAGAAAGAAGCCTGGCTAAAGCATCAGGTGCGAATCCTCCTCCTATCCTCCTCCATCCCGAGGCATCGCATCGGGATCGGGAAACCCATCCTCCGTTTCCTTCAATCCAACCCACAATCCTGAACCAGCCCCGGCTAGCTAGCCGCCCCCCCGAGCAGCTTCTGCGCCTGCGCCGCAACGCTGCGCTGCACGCGCGGGATTCGAATCCTCCCCGCAAGTTGACGGGTCCCCCCCCTCCTTCCCCCCAAGCCAGGTAGCCTCCTTTCCCCGCTGGCCCCGCCCCCTCCCCGCCCCCTGTCCAATCCCCGCTCTTGCTAGGTTTGAAAAAGAGGGCGCGAGGTGGCTGGCTTTAAAAACGAAAAGAGGCGTGGCCCTAACTCGGTCCGGCCGCGCCAGGCGATTGGCTAGTTCGCTCGCCTCCAGGGGCGGGGCTTCGGGTTTAGAGCGGCAGGCCGCCGGAGTAACGGGGGAGGAGCCTTCTCCGGGCCCCGCCCCTCCTCCTCCTCCCCCCCTCCCACCCCGGCCGGCTCGGCGCTCACTACGAACTAGCTGCTTGGCGCCGCGGCGGCCGTTCTGCGAGCGCTGCCCGGGGGAGGCGAGAGTCCACCGGCCGGCTGGCAAGGATGAAAGCGGGCGGTGAGTGTCCAGTGGACTCTTTGCAAAGCCTGCGAGGGGCCGTAGGGCTGGGGAGGGGGCGTAGCCCCTATGAAGCCTCTACCTTTGGGGGTCTGCAGGGAAGACACGGTGGGGTTTGCACGGTTGGGTTTTTCCTACACGGGAGTGACTCATCCCCACGACCGTTCATCCCCGGGACAGGCTGCTCAGTCCCTCTTTCCACCCAGCCGGTCTTGCTCGCGTGTCCGGGGGTTGCCTTGCAGGTTGAAGCGGTGCTGCAACCCGGGGCACGTCGGAAGGGAGGGCTGGAGGAGTACGTGCAAAGCCCCGCGGTGGGTGCGTGGGATGCAAGGCACCCACCGTTTTTTCCCCCTTCCCCAAATGGGCGCACCGGCTGCCTCCCGTGCAATCGTCGGAAAGCCTAATCCGGGCGGCAGGTAACGTGTGAACGCAGCCCCAAGCTGGATCGGCAACCCGGGTGGGAGAAATGGAGTCGGGGGGCTGCTTTTTCCCCTCCCTTCGCCACCGTGCCGCAGCCCCCGGGGCTCCCCAGCCGTCAACCAGCCAAGCCCGTCCCGTGCAACGGCGCCATCGGATGTCTGGGCAAAAAACTTGGGTTGAAGTTGCGCTTCTTGGTGGCTTGTTGGAGCGTCTTCCAACTTGGATGGTTTGTTTTTAAACCCATTTTTTTTTATTACTGTATGCCCTCCTTGCTGGAGCTGAAGTGGTTTATTCCTCCCTTTTTTAATATATATATATATATTCTAATTTTTTAAAACCTCAACGGGAGGACGTCCCTGGGTTTTTTTTGGGCGGGTCGATTTAAAAAGTAAGTGGAGCCTATAGAGGATCAGAGCTGGTCTGTCTGCGGAGGGGATTGGCTTAAGACTTCTTGCATGGGCTCCATAAGACCATAATACAAGATTTCTCCTTTACAATAGGAATGCCTTTGGGGTATTTTTTTTTTCCCCCATCCTGTACCAAAGAGGACAGGTAGCTCATAAATCGACCCAGAACAAAATTTGGCATGGGGAAAGAAAGGTTTAAGTCTTTGAAAGGAGTGTAATTATTTGCTTTTTAAGCAGAGTTAAAATCAATGTCTTTTTTTTTTTTTAATATATGGTAAAACCAGAACTCGCTGATTAGAGACATCAAAGAAAGAAATACAGTTTTGTATATTTTAAACAGCTTCCAGTTTTATTTAAAAAAAAATTAAACTGCTGGCTTCAAAGATGTTCCACGAGGCTTCACTCAACCGAATTTTGCTGTTTTATCTCCCTTTTATAAAGGGAAATGAAATTTGGGAGGAAAGAATAAATAGCAGCAGTTTTTTTTGCTTTGACTTCCCTAAAGAGGTTTGAATCCAAACACTTTTCCCCAGGATGAGTTATTTTAATACAATTTGAATACAGGAACACCTTGGAGATGTTATGGGCTCAATTCCAAACCACTGCAATAAAGAGAATATCTCAATAGTGTCATATGATTTTTTTTGTTTTCCTGTGCATATAAAATTTATGTATACACTATAGTCTATTAAAGTGTGCAATGATATTATGGCTTGGAAAAAAACAACAACGCACAGGCCTTAATTAAAATATTTTATTGCTTTAAAATATTAATTTACTATTACTAAATATAGGTAGTCCTCGACTTACGACCACAATCGTTCCCAACATTTCTGCTGCTAAGGGAGACAGTTGTTAAGTGGATTTTGCCCCATTTTGCAAACTTCCTTCACTCGATTGCTGAGCGAATCACTGCAGTTGATAAGTTAGTAACCTGGTTGTTTAATGAATCTGGCTTCCCCATTGACTTTGCTTGTCAGGAAGTCACAAAAGGGGATCACATGGCCCCGGGACGCTGCGACCGTCATAAATATGAGTCAGCTGCCAAGCGTCTGGATTTTGGTCACGTGACCGTGAGGATGCTGCAACGGTCATAAGTCATTTTTTCCAGTGCTGTTGTAACTTTGAATGGTTACTAAATGAACTATTGAGCTGTGGTGGCGCTGTGGTTAGAAGGCGGTATTGCAGGCTAAATCTGTCAACTGCCAGCAGTTCGATCCAGACCAGCTCGAGGTTGACTCAGCCTTCCATCCTTCCGAGATCGGTAAAATGAGGACCCAGATTGTTGGGGGCAACAGGCTGACTCTGTAAACCAGGGGTCTCCAGGCTTGGCAACTTTTGGACTTCAACTCCCATAATTCCCCAGCCAGTCATGCTGGCTGGGGAATTCTGGGAGTTGAGGTCCAAAAGTTGCCAAGCTTGGAGACCCCTGCTATAAACCACTTAGAAAGCACGGTGAAGCGGTATATAAGTCAGCCCAACCCAAATTACAGGGTTTTTGTGGGGAAAACAGGAGGCGGAAGGAACGTTACGTATGTTTGCTCAACTTGAGCTATTTGCACAAATCATAAAGGCAGGATATAAATGTATAAAATTGCCAATCTTGCCCATTTTAAAGTCAGCTGAAATTTGGCAATCCTCCTTTAGCAATGATTTGCTATTGCACAATCTGGGGCGATCCCATAATTAGCAAAAAAAAAAAAAAAAAAGACACTTTTCGGCAACGGCTTAGGAGTCTTATGAAATCACGGTGTCTCTTGCAAACTTCCTGGAGTCTCGTCCTGCCTTGTTAAAATTCCAGGACAGATCATTTTACAAAGGGTGGGCCAGGTTCGCTGGCTGGATAGCTTCTAACACAAGAGATCCAGTTGATCCGCCTGATCGTTGACACGGGCAGGTAAAGAATTCGAAAGGGTGGGCCGGATTCCCTGTTTCTAAATGCCGACATGTGTTCCTGCTTTATTTCCGTCAGTCAGAGAAATGGGTCCAATTCTGTGCGTCTTCGCTCAGAAGAAAAGTCACGCTGAATTTGGCAGAGCTTTCTCTCAGATAAAGAGGCACGGCATTTTTATGCTAGTAGTAAATCCATTGTGGGATTTGGCGTAGTAGTTTTTTAGAAGAAACTGGAGACCTGGCGATGTCATCCAGCTTGGGAGTTCTACTGCTTCCACATCAGTTCCTGTAGGAGAGGAGCAGGCAGAGCGGTGGGCGGAGTTAAGCAAGTCATTAGCCAAGAATCGTTACGTAGCCACAAACATTCCAAATTCAACTCCTCAATTCCGCTGACCCCTCATTCTGGCACCAATTTTAATATTAAACTTCAGTTGACTGGATTCTGGTTTTGGGGCTTGACCAATAAATCTTCTGAGCTGCACCTTAATGGATGGTTCTGATTCTTTGCGCCCGATGGTTCCTCATATTTTCTCTCACCGTCTTCGTTGCAGTCACCCACTGCCGATGCTCTCGGTGCTTCCCGGTCCCTTCTAAGAGAAGGGTGAAGAAGAGACCCCGAATCCTGACCTTGCTGTGTCTTCCAGAAGACATTCTCTTCCATGTTCTCAAAGGCCTTCCTATAGAAGACATCCTTTCCCTCCGAGCTGTAAGTCGAAAACCTTTTATTTTATTTTGCGCTAGCTGTACCCGGCCACGCGTTGCTGTGGCTCAGCCTGGTAAAAGCGTGTGTTGCTTTTACGTCCAACAGATGGCGCTGTTTTTCAAAGAAAGCATGTTTTTACCTGTCACAGGTGTGACATCTATATAATAGTAGGTTATATAAAAACACGCGCGTATTCGAATGCAACGTTGTGTCAAAATGTCAAAGCAATCGGTGAAGAACTTTCGGAGATTTAAGATTTTGAACAAACGAACATTTACATTTTTATTTATATAGACAGATAGATTTTCGACGTAGGTATTCTTACTCTATAGGTAGTCCTGTATTACGACCACAGTTGAGCCCCAAATTGTTGCCTGTTTGCATCGCGGACTGTTGCCACGATGCAAACAGCATAATCTGTCCTTCCGGTCTTGTACAATTGTTTCTCAGGATATTCCACCTGGCTGAACATTAATTGCCTTTATTTGAGGATTCCTTGGCTATTACAGTCTGCTTCGCTCTCTTCCAGGTGCATTCTCATCTTAAGTATCTTATAGATAACCACACCTGCATTTGGGCCTGTGCAAGCTTTCAAGAAGAGTGGCCTTCCCCGAGAAACTTGAAAATCTTCGAAAGGTAACTTTTTTAGAACTTGGGAAATCCACCAGCTGCCTCGCACTACGCAAGAACAGTTGCTAAGTGGCCGACTGATAAAGCGAGGATTACCTGTATGTATTTATGCCTAGATATTATCACTGGTACTGTCCATGGGGCTTTTACTCCTGGGGAGGAAAGCTATGGCAAATCTAGACAGCATACTAAAAAGCAGAGACATCACCCTGCCAACAAAAGTGCGTATAGTCAAGGCCGTGGTTTTCCCAGTTGCAATGTATGGCTGTGAAAGTTGGACCACAAGAAAGGCTGAGCGCCAAAGAATGGAGGCCTTTGAACTCTGGTGCTGGAGAAGACTCCTGCGAGTCCCCTGGACTGCAAGGCGATCAAACTGGTCAGTCCTAGAGGAGATCCACCCTGACTGCTCTTTAGAAGGCCAGATCCTGAAGTTGAAACTCAAGTACTTTGGCCACCTAATGAGAAGGAAGGACTCATTGGAGAAGAGCCCGATGCTGGGAAAGATGGAGGGCAAGAGAAGAAGGGGACGACAGAGAAGGAGGTGGCTGGATGGAGTCCCTGAAGCAGGAGGCGTGAGCTTCAATGGACTCCAGAAGATGGAAGAGGACAGGAAGGCCTGGAGGAACGTTGTCCATGGGGTCGCGATGGGTCGGACACGACTTCGCAACTAACAACAACAACAACATCACTGGACAGAACAATGAGTTTTAGTGCAAACAAAAGTCTTTGATCTTTCAAATGTTCACCCTCTCTCGGGTGATGTTGGTTGGCCTAGCAACAAATGCATTAGTTAGGATAGTTGAGGGGAGAATAATCCCGCAGCACAAATGTCCAGATTTCTTCTACTGCTCCCTGTATTTTACTGAGCTCTGAATTCCTCCAAAATACGAGTCTGCTTTTGTTTGTTTGTTTTCCTGCAGGGCTGCAGAAAAGGGTAACTTTGAAGCTGCTGTGAAACTTGGAATAGCCTACCTCTACAATGAAGGCCGTAAGTGTGTGTGCACCCCACTTTGGAGACAGTTGTTGTGGACTGCCAGTTTGAGCCATGCCCGACGTTGCTTGCCGCAGGACCTTGGTTGTGACAAATAAGTTGATTTGTAGCTGAGTTTGATGTACAAGTCTGAAAAAGAAGCCTTTAGCTAAATCACTGCCCTTCCCTCCCTCCCTCCCTCTCCTCCTTTACTTTCTCTTTTCTTGCATCCTCTCCTTTCCCTCCTTTCTGCTTCTTTCTCCTTCCTACCCTCCCTTCTCTCCTTTCCTTCCTTCTTCTACCCTCCTTTCCTTCCTCTTTCCTCCCTCCCTCTCTTCTCCCTTCCTTCCTTCCTCCTTTCTCAATTTCTTTTCTTTCTTCTTTCCTCCTTCCTTTTCTTTCTTTCTTTCTTTCTTTCTTTCTTTCTTTCCTTCCTTCCTTCCTTCCTTCCTTCCTTCCTTCCTCTTATTTCTTTCCTTCCTTCCTTCTTTCCTCTTCTTTCTTTCTTTCTTTCTTTCTTTTTTTCTTTCTTTCCCATTTTCCCGAAGGCCAACCAAGTCAGGGCCATCCAAATCTCTGGCAGAAGGCATGCTTCCAAGGCCCCACCAGTGACCCTGTTTCACCAAAGAAACCAGGAAAGTGCCCACCTTGCCAGACCTACTGGGGTGGGCAGAAAACACCAGGAACGGAGGGCCCCGCTTTATGGATCTCTTGCGCCTTACCCTACAGCAGAGCCACAGTTATGGAACTTAACGGTCCACAAGCCGGTAGTTGAAATTTCATCCTGCATCCCGGTTGATCATCTCCCCCTCTTTTATTTTATGTTATTTTATTTTTATAGCATCTGTTTCCGATGAAGGCCGTGCGGAAGTGAACGGGCTGAAGGCATCCCACTTTTTCAGCCTGGCCGAGTGCTTGAACGTCTCCGCGGTGCCTTTTGTCTGGCTGTTCATCCGTCCCCCCTGGTCTCTGGGCGGGAGCTGTTGCAAAGCCGTGGTGTACGAGAGCCTCCGGAGAGAGTGTCAGCAGCGAAAAGTAAGCTGCCTTTGTTCTGTGTCTTTCAGACTTCGATTCGCCCTTCTTGCAGGACTTGTTTTTGCCTAGAATGGGCACAATAATCTGGATCATCAATATGACCAAGGCAGCAGTACTACACCAGCCACACAGTGCAAATACTGACAGTCTTTAAGTTTCTAGTCCTCATTTATTTCAGAATATAGACTGATACATTTTCACTAGATCAAGGAACCTACAAGCATATATTCCAAAGCTAATAAAAGTGTAATCTAAATCAGTACCAGGTGCAAACAACAAGATCCATGCATAAAGAGGGAGTCAAGCTATTCTCCAAAGCGCCTGAAGGCCAGGACAAGAAGCAACGGATGGAAACTAATCAAAGAGAGAAGCAACCTAGAACTAAGGAGAAATTTCTTGACAGTTAGAACAATTGACCAGTGGAACAACCTGCCTCCAGAAGTTGTAAATGCTCCAACACTGGAAGTTTTTAAGAAGAGATTGGCCAACAATTTGTCTGAAATGGTATAGGGTTTCCTATCTGAGTAGGGGGTTGGACTAGAAGACCTCCAAGGTTCCTGCCAACTTTATTATTATATTCAATTAGTTGCTTTCTTGCTCAAGCCTATATATATAAATATTCTCTAGACTCAGTTTGTAAGGTTCAATGGCATTCAAGAGGAGTCAGACTTCACCCTCTTGTGCCCATGTAGGAATTCCATACAAATTCTCCATTTGACTCCTGCCCTTGACTCAGCCTGTCTCTCTGCAACAATCAAGGTTTTTTAAATTTGTCAAGCCCCTGAGCTTATTGCGTGTTTTTCCAAAAATCTATCTTCTTAAAAAGTTCTCCAGAACTTCTGAACAGTGGCAATATTGTTTTGAACTAGAATGGGTTGGCTCAGCCCAATAAACATCTTTACTTGATTGTTAACAGGTTAATTTGCAGTAGTAATGAAAAAGAGTCTTTGCAAGCTCAAAAGGGGGAAAAAAACACAAGACAGTTCTGAAAATGTTGATTTCTAGCTTCTCTTTATGCTAAATATGTCTTCCACACACCATCTGACTTTGATTTTTCTGTAGACTCAGCGAGGATCGATTCTATACTGTTTGGCAAAAGTTTTGAATCTCTTCGAGGTAAGGACCACTTTAATATATTCCTGTATGTATAGCCTGTCATTATCTTGTCTAGTGTGCAAACACGTGTTGGAAGTATCGTTTGAGTTTTGATGCTCTAAATGACAGTAACAAAATAAGTTGCCTCTTGAAAGCAACTATAATTGGGCAGCAACTTGATCATTGTGTGAAGCAGTTGCTAAGTGGAAAAATCACATGAATGTGACAGCTTCTGTTTTTCCTACTCCCCTGACCTTTGAAATACTTACTCTAGCGCCGGGATAATTAACAAGAGAGTTAATCTCCGTATTTACATTTATTGGAGAGGAAGGAATTACAAGAAAGTAAGCAGACACAAAATGAGGAATACACATCCACAGGAATGCGCTGGCACCAGCAGCTGTGAACACACTATGCAAAACATCCCAGTGTATTCCCCTTTGTGTGCCTGCTTACTCTCTTGTAATCCCTTCCTCTCCAAACTCTACACTCTGCTAGGTAGGGCAGTGGGGGGGGGGAATAACAGCTCAAGCACAGGACAACACATTTTGACTAATGGTAATCTCATGATGAGGGAAGATCAACTGCGAGCATTGATAATGAGATTATTTTTTTTAGCACCATCATAGCCCATATTCCTGTTCCCAAGATCCCCATAGATGACATTGTTTAATCAAAGGGGCCCAGAGTGTATCAAACCCCCCAGGTTGATACAGCCAGGCAGATTGTGGCTGTTTTATGATGGTGAGCTGCTGTGTGTTTTTATTTTGTGTGTTTAATGGTCCCATATGTGAATTTGGCAGCTATATATACCTTGAAACTTAAAACAAAAGCCAGGACTGTTGACAAAGTTGTATCCAGGGCCCATTCAAAAAGGACTGCATTGTGATGTGATCCCAGAACAAAGCCATGTCCCCCACCTTCCTCCTTTCTGTTATTAGGACGAAGAGAAGAGGAAAGAAGCTCTGGAGATGTTTGAAGAGTCCTCAAAGCAAGGCTGCTTGCACAGCTCTTACCTCCTGTGGGAAAATAACCATAAAGCTGCTGTGAGTTCAAAAAGTCTTCTTCGGTGTAAGAGGCTGCAACGCCAAGGGTCTCCTGGGAAGAGGTGGCTCTCCTTAGAGCCCCGTGAGAAGAAGGTGTGATGACTTCCTTCGTTTCTTACAGATGTCAGATCCTGGTAGATACCTTCAGAGCCTCAGACAACTTAGGGACTACGCAGCCAAGGGGTCTTGGGAAGCTCAGGTATGGTCATCGGATCCTGGATCTGAAGTTTTTGTTTTGTAAAGATACGTGAGCATGACTTCAGTGGGCGAAGAGAATAGATGCTGCCCGTGACACAATCAGACAAAAGAGGCAGGAGCCCCCCCCCCCCAAAGGCTTAACAGGCAGAGGGAGAAACTTAAGAAGGACCTGCCCTAATTGATCAGATGGTTCAAAGTGGTGGCTTTGAGGGATGCGGGAAAGGGATGCTGCCCAAGGACCAATCAGATAACAGAGCCTTCAGTCACCTAATGCAGGAGTCCTCAACCTTGGCAACTTTAAGACTTGTGGACTTCAACTCCCAGAATTCCTCAGCCAGGCATGCTGGCTGAGGAATTCTGGGAGTTAAAGTCCACAAGTCATAAAAGGGCCACGTTTGAAGACCCCCTGCCCTAAAGTGTTGAGGGTTCAGTCACCGAATACAATAGTGGCTCCGTTGTCTTGACTTGGGTTGCTTTCTACCTTGTGCAGATCACCCTCTCCAAAGCTTGCGGGAACGGAAGCCAACTGGGGCCGGAAAGCAAGATGTCCCTGGAGACCCTCTCCCAGTTTTTCCAGGCCTCTCTTCCTCTGAGCAAGCAAAGCATTTTCACTGTCCAAAAGGGGATGAATGAGACAATGAGGTAAAGACATCTGTTCCCTGCTGTTTTTAATT